ATCAATTTCTTAAAGTTGGTAATTTTTTCATTTATTTATAAAAATTTGTTTTTTTATTTATGTATAAAAAATTTCTTCATTATAGTAAATAATATATTTATTTATTATATTCATTCATTATTTATTTACTTATTTTAGGCCAATATTTGACCCAAAAAATTAAAAAAAATATCAAATTAATATAATAAATAAATATATTATTTACTATAATGAAGAAATTTTTTATACATAAATAAAAAAACAAATTTTTATAAATAAATGAAAAAATTACCAACTTTAAGAAATTGATGATTTTGTAGGTTTTTCTTGTTCATCAAATAATTAATAAAATAATATTGAACAAGAAAACTACAATTTTTTTGATCGAAAATACGATTTTTTCATTCCGATAGTTATGTCCTTCTCTACCGCGTGGTGCCGCCTATAGTGCTGTCTCGCTTAGATACACGGGACCACTAAAATGCGAAAAAATCATATAAAAAAAAATCAGCGCACTTTCGTTTTTGGGCACATTTTTTCTACAGGTCATTACAGATATTTTGACATTAGAAAATTAAAAATTGCCCTTTGTACAAAAATTTTCAAGACAAATGGAGCCAAGCCTCCTATATTGACTGGACTAATAGATATATTCTGTGCTCTGTCTTGCTCGAAACAGATTATTCAAAAATTTGTAAATTTCTTGGTGCCCTAAGGCTCCCTTTTTGTAGTGCATCCCTGAAAATTATCATTTTTCGAACGATTTCCCTAATACCTACTCAATTTCAATTGACGTCAAGCTTCGGCCTTTCGCCGCACAACGCGAGGGCGTAAAGTCAACTCTGGGAAAATTTCTGACTTCAGCCCAGCCTTAAGGCTTAAGGCCTTTCAATGCCCATTGAAATTGAGTACAGTACCGGACATAAATGCTGTTTAATTTTTTAAAGGTTATACATGTGATTTCCCCACATATATGTAATACTCCTATATTGCTAGCCGGTATAGGGAGAGAGACTTAAACATTACGGTGCAGACATATATGCGTTTGTCTCACTTATTATATGCTGCGACTTGTGCGCATGATCGTGAATGGAGTGTGCGCATTAGATAGCATTTCAATTTGTACAAGAAATGAGATAGCATCCCTTGCAAATAGAATAGCGTCATTTTGCATATGAAGTAGCGTCTGTTTTACATGCTACATCCAATTTTTTATATATTTCAATTGACTTCATTAATAATTATAGTATTTAAATATTGAAATTTTTTATTTATATTTAATTTCAAAGCCATTTCAGAATCAATTCAATGTTAATAATAATTATTATATTTATAAATATTTACGTGTACAAATAAATTGGGAATTGTCAGCTTTTGTTGAAAACGTTGTATTATATATTTCCGGATTTATTGCATATAAATTAACAAAAAAAATTGTAAAATGTCAAGTTTGTATTATACAATTAAAAGGCGACGCTACTAAAGGCACAATGCCTTTATTATCGCAAATAAAAAATCGCGGACCATATATAACACCATCAAAGGATGTAATGGCTATTTGCAAAGTTTGCGAACAGATTATCAGAAAATATCAATCGGAAATAAGTAAACCTTCAATTAAACAATTTTTAATAAATAAAATATTTAACAACATAGGGATGCAATTTGACAATAAAATCATGAATGAACACATTTTATCACAAGATATTTTGGATAATCATCGATCGCAACTTTGCAAATACGTTATCGAATTATATTTAAATACTCGGTTACATTATGAAGCCAAAAAAATGTCCGAGAAGGATCATTGTATAAGACAGAAATATACAAAACTCGTATTATTTAAACACCAATAAGTTTAATAATGTATAATTTGGTATACTGGTATGTGTAAATAATAAATTATTTATTGTTAAATATTCTTTTTTTTATCTTAGTTTTTTATTTCCTTATATCCTTTCATCAATTCCCCATTTTTTCTAAAATGCCTGTTTCAAATATGTTGTTCATTTGAATGAAGCTGCTTATAAGAAGTAGAATATGCAAACTTCATTTTAAAAAAATGAAATAAAATCTTTTTTCATTAACAAAGAAAAAAAACATTTCTATTTGTAAATTGTTTAAAATTAATTTCAGAGCTCATAAATGCTACATTTTTTATACAGTAAACTTTAAAATTATTAAATAAAGATATTTAAAATCCAATAGCTTGTATACTATGTATAATTATCATTATCACATTTTAATTGTATTTATTGTATAATAATTTTCATTAAAATATAGACAGGAAAAAAAATATTTTTTAAATTAATAATCATGAATATTTATTTATCATCATCACATTTATACATATATAATTAAAAAATAGAAGAGCAATGTCAACTATTGTGGTGATGTACAAAAGTGATTAGTATGTAGTTTGTAAAATCTAATACAAAAATAATAATTTAAAGGAACAATAATTGACTTAACCCTCTATAACTCAAGAATATGAATTTTTAATTTTATGTTGTTTACGGGTAATTAAGACAAAATAAGATTAGACGAGTTTCGTAGTTTTTTATTTATTCAATTAGTTTCAAAAAAAAATAGAAAAACAGGGAGAGTTGCCTGGGGGGCAATATAATGTTAAAAAACGAATCATATAAATTAAGTAGTAGGTTGAACGGTATGTTGCTTACAGTCTACATCATGATATAGGGCGTTAATTATTATTTTTCGCATTTATTACATGTGATTCTATTACTGTGGATGTTGTGTAAAACTCAAAGAGTTGGGGCAGCTTGGGGAAAAGACTTTAAAATTTCAATTCTCCAAAAACTTTCAATTGTAATTTTTATAAAACAATATAATTTGTACTGGTATTTAAAAATATTATTTATAGTCATCGAATTGAATTACAATTATTGAACAATAAAAATTAATTTGTTCTTATAAGTTTAGATTATTTTATTTATTATAAATTTATTTACAAATAAATAATATATAGAAATACCTTTGAAATTAGATATTTAATTATTATATATAAATGATTTAATTATTATACATGTTTGAACAATTATTAATTGAAGTTATTCTACTAATAATAATAATAGAGAAAAGAAAAGAATGAAGAAGAAGATTTGAACACCCGAGACTCACTGCCGGAGTCGGGAGCTTTACCGCTGAGCTACGAAGCATACAAAAACTTATTTACTATAACTTAATTTTAAGTTGTGAAAGGGAGGTGGCTTGCCCTTCTCCAATTGCCAATTCTCCCTCTACGGTAGTGACGCTTGCGCACAACAGTTCAAATGAAAAGAAAGAGACAGACATATTCATTTTCTGTCTCACTTCATAGGCCACGCGCCCACTTACGGGAACTAGCAATATAGGAGTATTAGATATATGTTTCCCCATATACCGTCTTATAGAAAATCACATAGCATTTATGTCCGGTACTGTAGGTAACAGAGAAATCGTTCGAAAAATGATAACTTTCAGGGATGCATTAAGACTGGGCTAAAGCAGAGATAAGAGATAATATATAGAAGAACTATCCCAATGAGAGCTGTTGAACGGTAATTTTTACCTTGTTCTTCTGAAAATAAGCTGAGGGTGAGGAACGAGTTACTATGAATTCTCTTTTTTCGAAAGTGTTGTCTTTAAAAGACAATAGGAATTGATTTTGAACTTATTTAAACAACCAATTATTGTATTTATATAAAATTTTAATGAAAAAAAAAGGAAAAAAAAAATTGGCTATGACTGGGATCGAACCCTAATCGGTAAAATGAAAGCTTGGTGTTCTACTCACAGAGCTAACACATCATCTCTGACATTATGTTTATGTTTATAAATTGTATAATGCAGGCTTGAGTACGAAAGGTGGGGATAGAGCTTGCCGGCGAAGTGCCGGAAATCCCTGTGGATTATTTCAACTACTTCTAAATATTTCTAAATTGCTTAAAAAAAAGCTACGTTTATATAGCTATAGTAAAAAAAGTGTTTATAACCCTGTTCATATGTTTTCCGACTCGGCGTCGATCAATTACATAAATAATTGAGAAAAAAAAATCAAATCGTTGGTAAGGATTCATTTTAGCATGTTAATATTATAATTACATGCAAATCTAACAAATGAAAAAGAAAAAAAAAACTTTACCATGACTGGGATCGAACCCTGCCCGGCAAAATAGTACTCTGACGCCCTAACCACATGGCCAGCATAATCTTGATATTGAGTTAATGTATATTTGTTTTTACACTACATGCTTGGATACGCCGACTTGGAATTGAGCTTCCTTATTAACATTTATACCTAATAAAAATGATAATAATGGATGAGTATATGTATTTGAAGTTATTTGCAGGTATTATATTAATTAATGTTAAATGAGTATCATCATTTTTATTTATTCTAACTGCAATAGTCATCAAAGTATAAGGCATTGTAAAGCGATACACTATGTTTACATCACATACATATATTACCCGTACACACTCATACAGAATTTACTCGCCAAAATGCAGGGCACCATCAGTTCTGGATACGGATTGAGCATTTTTTCAATATGGATGACTGAGGTCATCTGCGAGCATAATGCTGTCACCTATCAGAATTTTTTCAAACTAATTTTCCGGAGAATATCATCTGGAATACAAGATTTCTAATTATTTCTAAATTATTCAATTTTATACTATGAATTGATTTTTTTAACATTCAGACAGGTGGCAAGGACTGACGCAAACACGAATTTTGGGCGAAAAACGTATAAAAATGAAATAATTAGTGATTTTTCATCTGAATGATGTGGCCGCCATCTTGAAATTTAAGCGCGGCAAGTCAATTCATAATTTTTTCATTATTCTTTCTAATTTTTTTAATAAAAATATTCACTATATACAAAAAATTGTTGTTTACGTCAGTCCGGCATCAATTCCTCTGTAATTTGGTACCTAATTTTATAGAAATAATGGTAAATTGGCGAAGAAATTAGAAATTTCCCGATCCCATGTATTTGGATAGGGGGAATCAGTCGCCTTTCTGACTTCAGCCCAGCCTTAATGTCTTTCTTGAATCAGTATGGCACACCATTGAAGCCACTGAGAAACTCTTTTCTCAGTTTGACTATATAACCTACAAAAAACTGGACAATACTCTGACGCTGTGTGTATATAATATAGTGTTGACTTTTTAATAATTTTATAGTAATTTATGGAATTGTGTTTTCTTCAAAGAGTTTCTCAATAAAACAAGATTTAAAATTTTATATCTTAACTGGTTCTGTCATTTTTTGTTAATTAGAGTGCATAATACTTCGAATTAATTTTGTTGTAAGTAATCCGAGAGTAAAATAATTACAGATAAACAAATATGGACAAATAAATGTGGTGTTACATTATATATTTTTTATAGTTTTTTTCGTTGCTAGAAATAACAATAATTATCATTCTCCTTAATTTAGGTTGCTGTTGTCAACTAATTATTATTGATTATGCCAGCTATCGTGACAGGACCTCCTCCACAAAGTGAACACATATGGCAAGCTTTGAAAACACATATAATTCGTGAACGTCAAAGAAAAAAACAGGGTTAGTGCTAATTTCAAAATTTCATATTCTCATTTTTTTCTTATTTTTCTGTACATGCAATTTATTTATTATAGAACAAGAAGCTGATGCAGAAGAAGAAAGACTAAGAAAAGAAAGAGAACGTCAACAAAAACAGGATGTCATGACGTTAGGCGAAACTAGAGAACAAATATCTACTTTAGAAACGGAACTCTCACAATTGAAAGACGAAAAACATCAATTATTTTTACAACTTAAGAAGGTTTTAAACGCAGATGATAACAGAAGACGACAGTTGACTAAAGAAGCTAGGTAATTTAAATAAATTATTGTCTATTTTTTTTAAAAATAGAATAACAAAACATAAATTTCTATTCCAGAGTTTTCTTTCTTATAAGAAATAGTGAATAAATAATGTAAAAAAACATGAATACAATTTCTTTATCTTTCACAGCATATGTCCAGAAGTATTCACTACTGTAGGAAATTATTCAACTTCAGGAAACAACGTTGTTCATCCTCAACTATTTCTTCCTGTACCTCGACATCCATTTTACAAAGTAGCTGGTCCTTCATCGTCATCTCATGGTGTCATTCCTAATGTAAGATCAATAGAATTTTTAACTCTTAAAAAGAATATTTCAGTAAAGTAAATTTTTTTATTATTGTAGGGTCCTCTTAAACGTGCTCACAGTCCTTCTCCACCTCCTTCGACGTCATACCCTACTGTTTATGGATATAAAACGTCACCACAGATGCCTAATTATAATCCTCCAAGTAAGCGTCATACATATTAAGTGCATAAATAAAAAGAAATTTCTTGTATGTTCTTAAAAAATTAATTTATACAGAATCAGAAGATGCCACAAGAAGAACCAGCGATTCACGAGCAGTTCTATGGAATAGTAAGATCATTAATTTAATACAATCATTTTGTAAATAATTTTTTAACCAAAGGGTACTGTTTCCATTTTGAGGAGTAAAGTTATCAATCATGAAGATAATTTTTGTTGTAATTTAATTGATCGTTTTTGTATTAAAAACGTTTATAAACTGCAACGTCAATAATCGGTAGCTTTACTCTTTTGTTCATTGTACATTTTTTAAAACATTTTTTAAATTAATTTCAGAAAATAATCAATATCCTCCTTCGAGTTTTTATTCGCCTCCAGCTAGTCAAAATGTTTATCATTATAGCGGACCATCATCACAATCAACACGAGAAATTGAGCAAGGTAAATCGGTTTACTTATCGAATAATCGAGGATCACTAACCCATCAAACAGGTAAGATATTGTAACAATGACTACAGAATATACAAAGTAAATGTCTCAATTGATTGATTACTTTTATTGGAAAATTATATATAATTATAAATTTTAGTCGAAGTGTATACAGAAAAATTCAATTTTTCAAAGAGTAAGGGAGGTATATATATATATATATTATTTATATACAGGTGATAATTTTAAAAGAATTGTTAATTTTTTGAAAAGCGTTTTCAATCGTACTAGCTTTACATAAAATTGTCACTACTAAGAAAATTTAAAACTTTTGGGAAATTGAATTTAAAAACTTTTAAACTATTAACTAACGTATAATCTAGTAGCCACGTGATTTTGAGATGCATAAATTATAGTATAAATGTAGAATTTTTTTGGTTATAGATTCAATAAGGGGTAATAAAGATAGTGTTCGTATAAATTTTCATTACTCAGAAAAAATAATTGCTATTGTTTATTGACTTTTGAAGCTTGCGTTTTTCCTCCTTTTACCGTTAATATAGCAAAAACGGTCATAGGGACAAAAATATTGATTTTTTTTTCAATTTCTTTCGTAAATTTTGCATTCGTCTTTTTTTTAGTTTAAAGACACTTTTTATCGCCAATTTAAGATCAAGTGAGATTTTTCTCTTTCTACAAAATAACTGTCTCCGTTCTTTGGAAAAATTATTTTCAGTACATAAATATAACAATGTGGTTTTTTGATTCTTGTACCTCTATTTTTAGGATAAAAAGTTTTACTGTAAAAGGATGGGGCCATCTTACTCCAGTCATATTAGATTTTAAATCGGGAAATCATGAAATGAATGAAATTTTAATAGGATATTTGTAGGGGATGTAGAATTAGTTTCCCCTTAAAAAAAAGTGAGCTCCGACACCGGGCAAGGGTTGAAATCACCCTTTAAACGCTTTTTTATGTATTTTTCCATGTTTGTTCTCATTTTTTTCGAGAACTATAACAGATATAAAAAAATGTTTTGATCAAAAGTTGTAGCGGCTACGATTTTACATAAAAAAGTCCGCATCTTTGCAATCTTACCTGTAACAGGTAAAAAGTTATTGACCTCTAAACGTTGGAAAAATTCAAAACAATGAAAATATTGGACACCCTTTGGACACGATACTGCTGTGAGAGAAACAAAGCGATATGTCAGCGCTTGTCACACTCATTGCGAATATTTTATCATAACAAACGTGCCTAAACGAAACACAACGTGAACAAAACCCATAGAAAGAAACAATTTGCAAGTTAGTTTTAACCGATTCTTTTTTTAAGTGAAGTTTAGAGGTCAATAACTGTCTGTTCGGATTCATTTTTATTATTAGACTCAGATTAATTATAATCCGAAAATCTTTTCGATTTATCATAACCTAGTTAATTATTTATTTCTCTATCAAATCGAAAAAATTCATTACAATAATAAAAATGTCAGTTGAGATGTTTACTAACATTTTAATGATTTTATACCTTAAAAGCAATAAGAGCATTATATTTTTCAGCTTATGTTACTAATATACATTCAGTTGATCATAAAACTTCATATACAGAAGATAAGTTTTATTTACGTCCAGGAAATCATGTTACAGTACATGGTGGATCAATACCAATTCAACAACAACCTCAGGTATTCGTATAGACGATAAAATCTTCCATTAAAAGTAAATGATTGGAAATAATTTTTATAGGGAGCTAAAAGTGGGGGGATTACATCAGGATACCCTATAAGAACACCTCAACCTCCACCAGGTCCTTATGCTCCGTCTGGAACTTATGTAAGTGCACCTGCTACCAACATCCCTGGACGATTATTGTACTCTCAATCAAATGCTCGATACATACAACGTGATATTTAGAAACAATATATGAATATTGTTCTATTTATTAAATTTTATAACAAATAAAATCACATCAGTAATTTTATGTAAATTTTAAATTAATACTCCATTTTTGCTATAAATACTGCGAATTAAAATATTAAATTTCAGAATGATATGCTATTTACCTACTCTGATAGAACATACCAATTATAACCAACTTTAAAAAATCGAATTTAATTTAATAGAAATTCAACATTTTTAATTATTGCATTGTGAATCAAATTGAACCTAGATTACGAATGAAATCAGTCGAAAATTCCCTCTGCAAAATTTCAATTAATGACAATTGGTACCATGGCAAATCGATTAAATTGTAATAAAATTGTTTCTATTAAACCTGATTCATTCAATATTTTTATTCTAATAAATAGCAAATTTAGTTGAAATTGACAATTCATAGAGTTATTTACTTAAATTTTAATAAATATTTTATTGTACTGTAAGAATTTATCGTGAAACAATAAAATAACGATCGCACTAAGAGCGCGAAACCGTTTCTATAGGGGAGGGGAAGGAATTATATATGATCATGTCCTATACCGTACACTCGTGTTCATTTATACCTTCCCATTACCATGGGAGAAATTACCGACCGAGACGGTTTTTTTTTTATATAAATTATTCCATCTATTATTTTTCAAATATTCTATGATTAAATTCTCCTCCGGCCCTGCCCCCTCTTAAAAATAAATTTTCCTACTCCAAAACATCTTATTTCCCCTAATTTTAATTATTTCCCCTCATTTTTGACAGCTAACAAACATTTTTGTTTATAAATAATAAACAGTGTACAGTGTCAATTTTATAAATGTAAACATAACTCGTGTTGACATGTATTCGAGAGGCGAGTTATCATAGGATATCTATCTATTGATTTTTAAATCTTGTTGTTACCACAGGTAGCGAGGGCGTAAAATTTAATCGTTTCTAAAGTAATTTTAACAGCTTCAAAAAGATACTTCATTAACTTGGTAAGAGTATACAAACTTCTTACTTTAATACCAGCATTTTCTATATTTTTTTTGCCACTTTGTTCTCGGTCTATAATTACCAATGCTTTAGTAACGTTCAAACCTTCTGGAGTTAAGTCTTTTCTAAAATACTACTTCCACTGATAATAACATCTTCGATAATAACACAATTATCTCCTTTTTTGTATTCACCTTTAATCATTTTTTTTGTACTATAACTTTTTGCTTCTTTTTTTCTTATTATCATTGGAATGTACCACATAATTGATCAATTTTTTGACTACTATCGCTTAATTTCCAAAGAGTACTTGAAAGCCGGCTCTAAAATTGAGATAAATCATAATAAAATATAATTGATATCAATTATATTTTAATTACATTATAACCTGTAATATTAAATCAAATTTAAATTTGATAATTACTTACAAAAATCTTTAGATATCCTATGATAACTCGCCTCTCGAATACATGTCAACACGAGTTATGTTTACATTTATAAAATTGACACTGTACACTGTTTATTATTTATAAACAAAAATGTTTGTTAGCTGTCAAAAATGAGGGGAAATAATTAAAATTAGGGGAAATAAGATGTTTTGGAGTAGGAAAATTTATTTTTAAGAGGGGGCAGGGCTGGAGGAGAATTTAATCATAGAATATTTGAAAAATAATAGATGGAATAATTCATATAAAAAAAAACCGTCTCGGTCGGTAATTTCTCCCATGGTAATGGGAAGGCATTAATGAACACGAGTGTATACAAAGGTATTTATTTTCAGACATTTTTTAGATCATTAAGGCTGGGCTGAAGTCAGAAAGGCGACTGATTCCCCCTATCCAAATACATGGGATCGGGAAATTTCTAATTTCTTCGCCAATTTACCATTATTTCTATAAAATTAGGTACCAAATTACAGAGGAATTGATGCCGGACTGACGTAAACAACAATTTTTTGTATATAGTGAATATTTTTATTAAAAAAATTAGAAAGAATAATGAAAAAATTATGAATTGACTTGCCGCGCTTAAATTTCAAGATGGCGGCCACATCATTCAGATGAAAAATCACTAATTATTTCATTTTTATACGTTTTTCGCCCAAAATTCGTGTTTGCGTCAGTCCATGCCACCTGTCTGAATGTTAAAAAAATCAATTCATAGTATAAAATTGAATAATTTAGAAATAATTAGAAATCTTGTATTCCAGATGATATTCTCCGGAAAATTAGTTTGAAAAAATTCTGATAGGTGACAGCATTATGCTCGCAGATGACCTCAGTCATCCATATTGAAAGAATGCTCAATCCGTATCCAGAACTGATGGTGCCCTGCATTTTGGCGAGTAAATTCTGTATGAGTGTGTACGGGTAATATATGTATGTGATGTAAACATAGTGTATCGCTTTACAATGCCTTATACTTTGATGACTATTGCAGTTAGAATAAATAAAAATGATGATACTCATTTAACATTAATTAATATAATACCTGCAAATAACTTCAAATACATATACTCATCCATTATTATCATTTTTATTAGGTATAAATGTTAATAAGGAAGCTCAATTCCAAGTCGGCGTATCCAAGCATGTAGTGTAAAAACAAATATACATTAACTCAATATCAAGATTATGCTGGCTATGTGGTTAGGGCGTCAGAGTACTATTTTGCCGGGCAGGGTTCGATCCCAGTCATGGTAAAGTTTTTTTTTTCTTTTTCATTTGTTAGATTTGCATGTAATTATAATATTGACATGCTATAATTAATCTTTTATAACAATTTGATTTTTTTTTCTCTTTACTCATTGAATTTATCGACGCTAAGTCGGAAAATATTTAAACAGAGCCATAAACTTTCTTTTTGTATAAATACATTGATAATAGCCTGTGTTTAACAACTTATACATCTTTACATGTATTAACAATGTTATGTTATTAACAAGTTAATCATATTATTATCAACATTGAAAAGTAGTTTAAACAATCCGTGGCGAGTTCCGGCACTTCGCTGGCAAGCTCTACCCCCACTCCCTATGCCCAAGCCTGCAGCTTATAATTTTTAAGCATATATGAGCGTACTGAAACCATAACAGCTCAGTGGTTACAGCATCGGTCTTTTATTTTGCTAGCTAGGGTTCGATTCCAGTCATGATAAAGTTTTTTTTTTCTCTTTTATTTGTTAGATTTGCATGTAATTATAATATTAACATGCCAAAAGTAATTGTTTACAACGATTTGATTTTTTTTTTTCTTAATTATTTATGTAATTGATCGACGCCGAGTCGGAAAACATATGAACAGGGTTATAAACACTTTTTTTACTATAGCTATATAAACGTAGCTTTTTTTTAAGCAATTTAGAAATATTTAGAAGTAGTTGAAATAATCCACGGGGATTTCCGGCACTTCGCCGGCAAACTCTATCCCTACCCTTCGTACTCAAGCCTGCATTATACAATTTATAAACATAAACCTAATGTCAGAGATGATGTGTTAGCTCTGTGAGTAGAACACCAAGCTTTCATTTTACCGATTAGGGTTCGATCCCAGTCATAGCCAATTTTTTTTTTCCTTTTTTTTTCATTAAAATTTTATATAAATACAATAATTGGTTGCTTATATAAGTTCAAAATTAATTCCTATTGTCTTTTAAAGACAACACTTTCGAAAAAAGAGAATTCATAGTAACTCGTTCCTCACCCTCAGCTTATTTTCAGAAAAACAAGTTGTTTTCCGTAATTAATTGGAAGAATAATTTAATCAGATATATGAATTAATTTATAAGTATATAAAGTCACTTAAGCAAAAAAAAGAAAAAACAATTGCCTATGACTGCGATCGAACCCTGCCCAGCAAAATAAAAGATTGATGCTCTAACCACTGAGCTATTATGGTATCAATAATGTTAAAGATGCTTGAAAACTATAAGCTGCAGGCTTCGGCACAAAGAGTGGGGGTAGAGCTTGCCGGTGAAGTGTCGGAACTCGCCGCGGATTGGTTAAACTATTTTTTATTGTTAATAAGTTGTTAAAAAAGGCTAGTATCAATGTATTTGTACAAAAAAAGGTTAATGACCCTGTTCAAATATTGTCTCATTTGTCATCGATTAATTGAAAAATAATTTTACATAAAAATTGAAATTTAAAACTCATTTTCGGCATGATAAAATTGCAATTACATGCAATTTGAATTAAAAAAAAAAAATTTCCGCAATTGGAATCGAACACCGTTCAGTAAAATAAATGTCAAATCTTCTGACTACAGAGCCAACATATTTTCATTTGCTTTGTTTACGTTTAGATATCATAAGCTTCAGGCTTGGTAACAGAGGGTGGGGAATGTGCTTGCTCGTCAACTGTTCGAACTCGCAGTCTGCTCTGAAAAATAAGACGGAGATAGATAGATATATTCTCTGCTCTGTCTTGCTCGAAACAGATTATTAAAAAATTTGTAAATTTCTTGGTGCCCTAAGGCTCCCTTTTTGTAGTGCATCCCTGAAAATTATCATTTTTCGAACGATTTCTCTGTTACCTACTCAATTTCAGTTGACGTCAAGCTTCGGCCTTTTGCCGCACAACACGAGGGCGTAAAGTCAACTCCGGGAAACTTTCTGACTTCAGCCCAGCCTTAATGAATGAATAAATTATTAATTAGTTGATAAGTTAGAATGGTTCATCGCGTTTTTAAGGCTGGGCTGAAGACAGAGTTTCCCTTAGAAAGTTCCTAGCAAATTTTTCTCTACCAATGACGGCGTCAAAAATGGATGAATTTAGTTAAGGCTGGGCTGAAGTCAGAAAGTTTCCCGGAGTTGACTTTACGCCCTCGCGTTGTGCGGCAAAAGGCCGAAGCTTGACATCAACTGAAATGGAGTAGGTAACAGGGAAATCGTTCGAAAAATGATAATTTTCAGGGATGATCTACAAAAAGGGAGCCTTAGGGCACCAAGAAATTTACAAATTTTTTAATAATCTGTTTCGAGCAAGACAGAGCAGAGAATATATCTATCTATCTCCGTCTTATTTTTCAGAGAAGACTGCGAGTTCGAACAGTTGACGAGCAAGCACATTCCCCACCCTCTGTTACCAAGCCTGAAGCTTATGATATCTAAACGTAAACAAAGCAAATGAAAATATGTTGGCTCTGTAGTCAGAAGATTTGACATTTATTTTACTGAACGGTGTTCGATTCCAATTGCGGAAATTTTTTTTTTTTAATTCAAATTGCATGTAATTGTAATTTTATCATGCCAAAAATGAGTTTTAAATTTCAATTTTTATGTAAAATTATTTTTCAATTAATCGATGACAAATGAGACAATATTTGAACAGGGTCATTAACCTTTTTTTGTACAAATACATTGATACTAGCCTTTTTTAACAACTTATCAACAATAAAAAATAGTTTAACCAATCCGCGGCGAGTTCCGACACTTCACCGGCAAGCTCTACCCCCACTCTTTGTGCCGAAGCCTGCAGCTTATAGTTTTCAAGCATCTTTAACATTATTGATACCATAATAGCTCAGTGGTTAGAGCATCAATCTTTTATTTTGCTGGGCAGGGTTCGATCGCAGTCATAGGCAATTGTTTTTTCTTTTTTTTGCTTAAGTGACTTTATATACTTATAAATTAATTCATATATCTGATTAAATTATTCTTCCAATTAATTACGGAAAACAACTTGTTTTTCTGAAAATAAGCTGAGGGTGAGGAACGAGTTACTATGGATTCTCTTTTTTCGAAAGTGTTGTCTTTAAAAGACAATAGGAATTGATTTTAAACTTATATAAACAACCAATTATTGTATTTATATAAAATTTTAATGAAAAAAAAAGGAAAAAAAAAATTGGCTATGACTGGGATCGAACCCTAATCGGCAAAATGAAAGCTTGGTGTTCTACTTACAGAGCTAACACATCATCTCTGACATTAGGTTTATGTTTATAAATTATATTTCTAAATTGCTTAAAAAAAACTACGTTAATATAGCTATAGTAAAAAAAGTGTTTATAACCCTGTTCATATGTTTTCCGACTCGGCGTCGATAAATTACATAAATAATTAAGAAAAAAAAAATCAAATCGTTGTAAACAATTACTTTTGGCATGTTAATATTATAATTACATGCAAATCTAACAAATAAAAGAGAAAAAAAAAACTTTATCATGACTGGAATCGAACCCTAGCTAGCAAAATAAAAGACCGATGCTGTAACCACTGAGCTGTTATGGTTTCAGTACGCTCATATATGCTTAAAAATTATAAGCTGCAGGCTTGGGCACAGGGAGTGGGGGTAGAGCTTGCCAGCGAAGTGCCGGAACTCGCCACAGATTGTTTAAACTACTTTTCAATGTTAATAATAATATGATTAACTTGTTAATAACATAACATTGTTAATACATGTAAAGATGTATAAGTTGTTAAACACAGGCTATTATCAATGTATTTATACAAAAAGAAAGTTTATGGCTCTGTTTAAATATTTTCCGACTTAGTGTCAATAAATTCAATGAGTAAAGAGAAAAAAAATTAAATCATTGTAATGGATCAATTATGGCATGTCAATATTATAATTACATGCTAATCTAACGAATAAAGTAGAAAAAAAAATTGATTATGACTAGGATCGAACCCTGCCCGGCAAAATAGAACTCTGACGCTCTAACCACATGGCCAGCATAATCTCGATATTGAGTTTATGTGTATTTGTTTTTATACTACATGCTTGGATACGCCGACTTGGAATTGAGCTTTTTGATTAACATTTATACCTAATAAAAATGATAATAATGGATGAATATTTGTTGAAGTTATTTTCAGGTATTATATTAATTAATGTTAAATGAGTATCATCATTTTTATTTATTCTAACTGCAATAGTCATCAAAGTATAAGGCATTGTAAAGCGATACACTATGTTTACATCACATACATATATTACCGGTACACACTCATACACAAATTACTCACCAAAATGCAGGGCACCATCAGTTCTGGATACGGATTGAGCATTTTTTCAATATGAATGACTGAGGTCATCTGTGTGGGAATAGGGGTTACTCAACCACTAATAATAATAATAAGTCACATTTAATAATAATAGTTTATTAATTAACTTTGGTATTTGTAAAAATATAAATTAAGAATTATAAAAATGACTGTGTTGGCCACACGTGTGGTGGGTTGAAGATCACGCTTGAGAATCCACAACCGCTTCGGAACGAGGCATCAGCGCTTGCTTCCGCTGGCGACGCCTGGGCAAACTACTTGCGCCAGCGTCGGTTGGTCGACCAGGTAGGGAGTCTGAAACCCCCACAGGTACTCTCCCTCCAGTGTCCTGGACCAAAGGGGAAGGAAACGATACCTTCTTTTTGTTAGAGTACGTGCGAAGAGGTCTATCTATGTCAGTAGATGGACAAGAATCTGGATGAAACTGCGTGTCGTCGGCTTGCTGATCATCTGCATCAGTTTTTACAGAAAAAACTGGCTTCAAACGGTCAATTGAGATTGCTTTCTCTACTCCGTCCATGTCGATGATAAAGACACGGTCATCAACTCTCCTTACGATTTTATGAGGGCCAGAATAAGGAGGATCTAGAGGTCGTTTGACAGCATTAACTCGTACAAAGACATGAGAGCACACATATAAATCTTTGAGAATGAATGGTCTTTGTTTAGCATGATGTGCTGTAGGAGTAGGTCTAACTTTTCTGATGAATTCCCTGAACTTTTCCAGGAAAAAGTTAGGATCAGCTGGCATATCTTTATTGATGAAGAATTCGCCTGGAATACGGAGCTCTGTACCAAACATGAGTTGAGCTGGAGATGCGTTGAGATCTTCCTTGAAGCATGTACGAAGACCAAGAAGTACAGTCGGTAATAACTGTGGCCAAGATGTAGGAGCACCGCACATTAAAGCAGCTTTGACGGTCCTATGCCAACGTTCAATAAGTCCATTAGACTGTGGATGATATGGTGTAGTATGAATACGTTGTGCACCAACCATGTGAGCAAGAGCAGTGAACAGTCTGGACTCAAATTGAGCACCCTGGTCCGTGGTAATGGTGAGAGGAGTGCCAAACTGAGCAACCCAATGATTGAAGAACGCAGTAGCAATTGTGTCAGCTTCGATGTTAGCTAAAGGCACTGCAACTGGCCAGCGAGAAAAACGGTCAATCATTGTCAGACAATAACGAAGACCGTTGACTTTTGGAAGTTCTATGATGTCTAAATGGACATGATCAAAACGATTGTCTGGAACGTCGATGTGTTGTGAGCCAATTCGATTGTGTCTTTGAACTTTAGAGCGTTGACAAGGAATGCATTCTCTACTCCATAGGAGAACATCCTTTTTAATGCGAGGCCAGACAAATTTTTCTTTTAGTTGACGCGCTGTAGAGCGACCACTGGAATGAGCTGGACTGTGAATAATGTCAAAAGCTTGTTTACGAAGAGATTCTGGAAGATAAGGGCGAATCCAACCTGTAGAAGTATCACAATAGATCTGATGGCCTTGATAATTGAGGAGTTGAAGCTGGAGAGATCGATTGTCTCTTAACAAATCTTGAAGTTCCTGGTCAGCTTGTTGAGCATCTTGAATAGTTTGAAGATCCAAGGCAGTAGGCATATTGATAACATTTACTCTAGACAGAGCATCAGCTACAACATTGTGTTCCCCCTTGACATACACAATCTCAGTAGTGAACTCAGAGATAAAGCTAAGTTGGTTGAGCTGTCGAGGAGAAGCTTTTTCCAACTTTTGAGCAAAAGCATGAACTAATGGACGATGATCAGTCTTGACGATGAATGGTCGACCTTCCAGGATGTGACGAAAAAATTTAATGCTGGAAAAGATAGCAAGAAGCTCTCTGTCATAGGTACTGTAGCGGGTCTCTGCAGAGCTTAACTTCCTAGAGTAAAATCCAAGTGGTTTCCAGATACCATCTTCGAGTTGTTCCAAGGAAGCTCCAATAGCATGGTCAGAGGCATCTGTAGATAAAGCAATGGATGCTGATGGTGATAAAAATGTCGTGACAACAGCAGAAGAAATGCTGGACTTGCACTGTTCCAGGGCAGCTTTAAGTTCAGGTGTCCAATTGATTTTTGTTTTGTCACGCTTTTTAGCATTTTTTAAAAGCTCATTAAGAGGTGCTTGAATAGTAGAAGCTTTTGGAATGCAGCGACGATAATAATTAAGCATGCCCAGGAAACGTCGAAGGTCAGAGATTGTTTCAGGAGTTGGAAAGTTGAGAACTGCCTCTATTTTCTCTGATGGGGCTGTGAATCCGTCTTTGGTCAGACGATAGCCAAGATAGAGGACTTCTTTCTTGCCAAATGAACATTTGCTGGGATTAATAACCAGATTATTTTCCCGCAAAATCTTGAAAATGGCTTCGAGATGCTGTATGTGCTCTTCTGGAGATTTAGAAAAAACAATTAGGTCATCTATGAAGCAAGAGGCAAACTCGACGTTACGAAGAAGATTGTCCATGTGTCGTTGAAAGGTTTGTGTAGCATTTCTGAGACCTGGAGGCATAACACAAAACTCAAACATGCCAAATGGTGTTGTGACAGCTGTCTTAGGAATGTCTTCTTCAGCTACCGGGATCTGATAGTACGCCTTGACTAGGTCAATGGTCGAAAATATTGAACAGCCATGACAGCGATGCAGTAAGTCGTCAATCAATGGGATTGGATAACTATCCGGTACTGTTTGTTTATTGAGGCGGCGATAATCACCTGTCGAACGCCAGCCACCGAGTTTCTTGGTCACCATGTGAATAGGACTGGACCAGTCACTGCTTGAAACTCTGATACTACCATGTTGAAGCAGAAGATCAAAGTCAGCTTTAGCTGCTGCGTATTTTTCCCCTGTGAGACGTCGAGGACGTTCTGATACAGGAGGTCCAAAAGTGACAATATGATGACGAACTTTAGTTGATTCGCGAATAACTGGAAATGGTTTAGGCACAGTAATGTCGATAAATTTTTGCAAAAGTAGCCTGTAACGTGGTTCAATGTTGTTGGAAAAAGAATCTTGAGATGAAGCTATGGTTGAAATATTGTAGATTGATACTTCAGCAATGTAACCTCGCGTGGTGAGTCTGGTGGTTTTGTCAATGAGACATTGAGCTTGTAGATCGATGAGCAGTCCAAAGTAAGCTAAAAAATCAGCACCTATGATAGCATGATTCGTATCAGCAACGACGAATGACCGTTTAAAATCACGACGAAGGCCAAGCTGTAAAGAGTAAAGATGATTGCCGTAAGTATTGATGATGGAATTGTTAGCAGCAAATAGTTTGTAATCAGTCACTTCTAGCTTGTGACGAATCCAGGAACGCGGAATGATAGATAGCATAGAACCGGAGTCTACCAGGAACACTAGGTTGCTACGTTTATCACAGACAAAGAGGCGGTATTCTTTAAGAGGCTGATTGTTGTTGATCTCGCTGTCGCCCACCGCTGCTACGGACGACAGCCTTGCTAGTTTCCCTCAAACAAAAGTGATTGGGTAGCAGCAGGCTTGAATGTACAGGGTTGAACGCAGCGTCGCGCGCGATTGCCGTAATTATGATGATAGTAACAATGTCCTGCTGGAGAAACGTGTGGTTCCCTGGTTGTAGAACGCCCGCGAGAACGGGATCTACTACGATCATCACTAGGATGCAGCTTGTTTAATTTGTTGCACACTTCCTTTTGTTGAAGAGCTAAGTTATCTAAAGATTTTCTCATTCCTCTAAGCTCTGTTAGAATAGCGTCATCCAAAGAACTTGAGGCTTGTGGAGCTGTTGGAGAATAACTGGAATGAGTAGCAGCAGCCATGACGAACTGAGGTGAATCACCACTTTCCATTAAAGTATCAGCACCAGTAGCGAGCTCATCAAGTGAAGATGTGGCTTGAAAGACACGTAATAGTTTTTGAACAGTTGGAGGAAGTAGTGCTAACCAGCGAACTCTTAAAACATTTTCCGGGGCTTGTGCGCCAACCATGGACCGCATAAGCCTCAGCAGCTCTGAGGGTTTTCTGCCACCCAACTCAAGTTCAGCCAAAACTTTGTGTAGCTGCTTATCAGCAGAGTCTGCTAGGCGATTAATAAGCTGCGTCTTGAGGTAATTATATTTGTCTGTAGCAGGCGGTGTCTTGATGATGTCCGTAACAGCCAACACTGCATCAGAGGTGAGGTTGCTGACGATCAAATGATATTTCGCGTTATCAGCTCGGACGTTAAATGATTGAAACACTGATTCAGCTTGAAGGAACCACATCTCTGGGTTGTCCTTCCAAAACGTTGGAAGTTTGCAGTTCTGAATCGCTGACACTTCACCAGCATTGTGATCACCTGACTGCTGGCCAGAGCCTGACGAAGCAGCTTGGTTATCTGGTGACGTAAGTGGCATAGTGAAACTGGTATCAGATGCAGGTGGGCTACGAACTGGCGAATGATCCACTACCATAACCGAACGAAAGAATGTATGGCGTAAAAACGTCTATGAGTTTATCACACAGTTCACTTAACAGTTTAACACCGACCGAAAATAGTTTTTGCACACACAAAGACACTCAGTGTGAGGCACAAGGAACAAAGAACGAACTGCGTAGTAACAGTCAATCGTGACAAAGAGATATCACGTCGGGGTCACCAATGTGGGAATAGGGGTTACTCAACCACTAATAATAATAATAAGTCACATTTAATAATAATAGTTTATTAATTAACTTTGGTAATTGTAAAAATATAAATTAAGAATTATAAAAATGACTGTGTTGGCCACACGTGTGGTGGGTTGAAGATCACGCTTGAGAATCCACAACCGCTTCGGAACGAGGCATCAACGCTTGCTTCCGCTGGCGACGCCTGGGCAAACTACTTGCGCCAGCGTCGGTTGGTCGACCAGGTAGGGAGTCTGAAACCCCCACATCTGCGAGCATAATGCTGTCACCTATCAGAATTTTTTCAAACTAATTTTCCGGAGAATATCATCTGGAATACAAGATTTCTAATTATTTCTAAATTATTCAATTTTATACTATGAATTGATTTTTTTGACATTCAGATAGGTAGCAAGAACTGACGCAAACACGAATTTTGGGCGAAAAACGTATAAAAATGAAATAATTAGTGATTTTTCATTTGAATGATGTGGCCGCCATCTTGAAATTTAAGCGCGGCAAATCAATTCATAATTTTTTCATTATTCTTTCTAATTTTTTTAATAAAAATATTCACTATATACAAAAAATTGTTATTTACGTCAGTCCGGCATTAATTTTTCTGTAATTTGGTACCTAATTTTATAGAAATAATCGTAAATTGACGAAGAAATTAGAAATTTCCCGAACCCATATATTTGGATAGGGGGAATCAGTCGCCTTTCTGACTTCAGCCCAGCCTTAAGTTAGGACTCAATCGAAAGCTTATTTTATTCTTCACATCGGAAAACAACAATATAATTCAATTAATTATTTCATCATAATTAAAAATGAAGATGAAGATATGTTTTAAAGATAAGTTTTCCGATGTACATACTATTGTTCAGAATATTAAAAAAAAATTTTGTAATAAAAAAACGAATAAAAAAAAATAGTTTTGCGAGAAAAATTTTGGTTGATCATTCACAGAATCGTATTTTTTCCATCCTCGACAGGTGGCGCAGCAATGGTCTCTGAAAGGCATGGAATGATTATTGATTTTTACGACAGTGCGTATCAAAATTACTCAGGGGGCCTAAGACAAGGGACAAAGAGCGTTATGTCTTCTGTCGCAGTCTTATCCATTCCATCTTCCTGCGCATGTGTTGCACATAAAAAAGTATGAGTAGAAGTAAGAAAGCCTCATGTTAGTAGAAAAAGAGATACACAACAATCGGCAGCGAGTTCCGGCGCTTCGCCGGCAAGCTTTATCTTCACCCTCCGTACCCAAGCCTGCATCTTATGTTTTATATGCTATTATTATTTTAATTTGCGATGGCTCGGAATGCTGTTTTCCTCACGCTGCCACTATCTTCTCTACTTTACGTAACTAAATATGAAGCTCGGCACTACGGAGAAACTTGCAAAAATTTTTTATTACTGTCATTCTAAGGTCTTTTATAAATGAATCAATGTTATATGGCGGTAAAAATCCAAATCTTTTTAATTCTATTAAGAACGTACGCCTCTGAACATCGAATCTTTTACATCTCCAAAATATATAATTTAAATCTTCCACTTCTTTTTCACACTATCTGCTATCATATAGTATTTATGTAAATTTAAAAAATTTATTAGATGCTTACACACCTTAGATAAAATTTTTTCTATTTCTTCAATTTCCTCCCATCACAGAAAATCCTTTAACATCATTCAATATTTCAGGGAGCTCAATGAGCATGAGTGCAAATAAGGTGTCTTTTGCTTTATGAAAAGAGAAACATGTATGACTTTTAAAAATAAACAGTGAATAAATAAAAAAAACTTAGTAAAAGGGTAATAAGTTGTTTATTAATGCATATTTCAATAATAAGAATGACAAGGAATTTTTAAATTGTTCAGCATGACTGCTTTTTTTATAGCTCTCAGAGTATTGTATACGGATAAACACATTTTATTTCAGGCTATGCCCAGAATAATTTATTTAGTAAATAAAGTAGAACAACATTTAATTGTCATTAAAAATGAATTCACATATTAATAGCAAATGAAGTAATTATAGTATTTAAAATTAATTACATGAATGACTATTGATAATTCATACAATTTTTATATTCTTCTAAAAAGCAAACATAAAGTCTGCACAAGAATAAAAGATACTTAACAGTCGTTATCTTTGAATTATGCTTGAAAAATTATTAAAGTAGGTAGGAAATAATGAGTAGGTAGGTGTACTATTATGTTTTACATAATAACGTTCTGCAATTTGTATTTTATGTTATTTCACGCTGATTTGGCTTTTCAATAATAATCCTTCTAAAATTTAATGAATATGAATACTTTATGTCTACATGTTTTTAAGGTATATATGTAATTCATTCACAGTTTCTTTAAGAATAAAAACTAATTACGAAAAAATATGATTTATATGCGCATGAATTTTTTTTCCTAATTATTAATTTTAATAAAACAATGAAGACGTAATACTGATTATTGCAAGCTTGACGTGAAACACGGACGTTGTACGCGCATCACACACTAGAGAGAGACAAGACACTACACGGAGAGACACGCCCACCAATCTTACACGTACCTGTCGGTTTGTCATTGAAAAATGATATATATTTATCTACAACCGTTCCATTCTGTGTCAAAATTTATATTTCAACATTATTTACTTTTTTCGATTAAATTCGTTTATAACAATTATTAATGAATATTTGAAAATGTACTTGTTAAGTTGGTACTAAATTTGTATCGCGCGACACCTATGTAAGAGGATGAGATAGTGGAGTGAGGCAGTTGGAGCATAGCTGTTGCCGAGTAGATATGTAAAATCATTTTATGTTTAATAAAGTTTACGTTTTGTATTATTTAAAAAACAGTAATTATTATTTAATGAGAAATCATGAATAAATTAACATGGTAGCAGTCAGGTGGTTCGATAAAATCAAGAATTGAGTGAATAATTTGGTTGTTGAGTCAAGCTAAGGAAGGCAAAAGGAAAAGTGACGGTTGAAGTCTCCATTTTGCGGAATAGAAATTCGCGGAAAAATTTTTCAGTTAAAAATTTTTTTTGAAAAGGTACTAGTTTTGTGAGCAAAAATGTCAGACGAAATAAAAACTCCTATTTTTGATGGAAAAGACTATGAATGTTGGAAGAAAAGAATTACAATGATCCTGAAAATGAAGAAATGTGCAGATGTTGCAAATAGAAGACGTTTAGTGACGGACAAGGAGGAAGATTGGAACGAAATGAATCTGAAAGCAATAAATATAATATACAGTGGAATTTCAAATGATCAGCTACAATTTATTAAAGACATGGAAACGGCTTATGACATTATGAGGAAATTTGATGAGATGTATTTGAAACAATCGACTGCTCTTCAAATATGTGTAAGAAACAAATTGGAAAGACTTAGATTAAAAGATTTTGAAGATACAGCTACATTTTTTACTGAATTTGAAAAGTTAATTAATGAGTTAAAGAGTGCTGGTGCTACAGTCTCGGAAAAAGAAAAATTAAGTTACATGATCAAAATGCTCCCAAGTTCGTTGAGCTATGTTGGGGACCTAGTTGATGTTCTGAAAGAAAGTGATCAAACAGTCGAATATGTGAAAAGCAAAATTAAAATAGTTGAACAAAAAGAAAAAGAAGACAATGACAAGAATGGTGCAAGTGTATTCAAGACTGAGAAAAAACAAGATCAAAATTGTTTCAAGTGTGGGAAATATGGACATTTCAAAGCCCAATGCCCAAATACGAAGCCGGGCAGCAATTCATGGAAACCCAGGGGTGGCATGCATCAGCAAGGAGGCGGGCGACAACAAAATTGGCAGTATCGTGGCAACGGTCGAGGCAGTCGGGGTTCCAGTCAACATCGTCGTGGTGGCGGTTGGCAGCAAGGCTACTATCAGCGAACGGAAGATGGCAGCTCAAGTAGTTTCTGTACTGAGATTGAATCACATGAATCTATAGTAAATGGTTGCGATGATAAAGTAGAATGGCTACTCGATAGTGGATGTTCTGACCACATTGTTAATAATGATGAATATTTTTATGAATCAATTGTTCCTAAAACACCTGTAAATGTAAAAATTGCTGATGGCCGTATATTAAAAGCTACTAAAATAGGGAACATAATACATGAGTTCAATGTTTTTGGTCAAATAATAAGAAATAAAATGTCAAATGTATTTTTTGTAAAAGAAATGGATAAAAATTTAATTAGTTATGGTAAAGTTACTTGTAAAAACAAAATTGTATCGAAAGGAAATACTTGCAAAATTTATAATCCAACGGGAAATGTGATTGCAGTAGCATTCAAAGTAAATAATGTATTCCGTATGACTAGCAAAATTGTAAAACCTGAAGCAAATGTGACAACTGAAAATAATATGACTGAAAAAGAAAAATATCATAGAACACTAGGTCATGTAAATTTTAATTATTTAAAAACTATGTGTGATAAACAAGTATTAAAGGGTCTACCTAGAGAGCTAGAGTCTGATTATTTTAAGTGTGGTATATGTTTAGAGAATAAAATGCATAATTTACCATTTAAAAATGAAAGAACTAAGGCTAATGACATACTAGAAATTGTTCATACAGATCTGAATGGTCCTCATAATACTCCTGGATTGAATGGAGAACGATATTTTTTAACTTTTATTGATGACTTTAGTAAAGCGGCTCAGGTTCATGTAATAAAATCTAAGAGTGAAGTTTATAACTGTTTTGTCAAGTATGTAAATCTAATTGAAAATATGACTGGTAAAAAGATAAAGAAATTGCGTTGTGATAATGGTAAAGAGTATATAA